CGGCTGCCGGCCAGGCTCCCCGGCTCCGCTCCTTCCTTTCCCTTCTCTCCCTCTCACCGCCACCTCCTTGCGTCCACTCCCTCCTGCTACTTGCAAAGCTCCCCTGACCCTCGCGCTTCCAGGTGCCAGGAGGTAAGTCTCGGGCAGCGGATCTCGGGGCAACGGATCTGGAGCATTCGCGTTCGAATCGCAGCCGCTGCCGCCGCCCGCCGGCCGCGAGAAGGAGCCCCCGGAACGCCGAGCGCAGCTTCCGAAGCCCAGAGGCGCTCGGGTCTTGGGGGATCTCGCCTGGTCGCGTCCTCTTGCTTCTCCCCGCCTCCCCCCGCCCCAGGGCAAGGAACCCCCTCTTGGTCCGACGAGGTGGAAGCTGCGACGCCAGAGAGCTGCCGGCTGATCTGACTGTCAGTATTTTTCGTTGTAAGTTCAGGAGAGGAGGAAGGAAAATTCTTGAGTGTCTGTGCTGACTTCTCAGCACTCGTCACCCTTCCCCCACCCCACCCCCACCGCTGCCTGAGTGGCTCCCGGGGGGAAGAAGATTTTGCAGGGTTTGGGTGTTTTTTTGTTTTAAGTGACACGAAAAATGGGGGCGGGGGGTGCACGCGTCAAAATAGTTTTCAAGTGGGTGGCTGGACCGTTTTTTCTTCTATATTCAAACTTGTTCCTAGAGAACAAGGATGAGTTTTTTTGTGTGTTTTTTTTTTAAGGACTGGAAAACTGTCATCCTGGTGATTAAAATAAGTTGCAAAAACCTTTGCTGGGGAGAAACTCCAACAGTTTTCCATCAATTTCAATCTTTTATTAAGTCGATTCTGCATCTAAAATGAATGTCTTAACTTTCTTTCTCACCGTTTCCAGGGAGAAAAAAAAAAGTAAAAACACAAAATAAAATATTCAAAATGCTTCGATGGCTATTTATTTATGTATTTCTTTCCCAATGTGGGTTTAAAAAGCGACTTTGGATCCCCCAAAAAGTTGTGGTCGAGAGGACGAAGGAGCACGGGGGGAAAGCGGCAGTTTTACCTAAAATGTGGTTTTTGGAGGCTGGGATTTCTAATGATTAGGTTTTTGTGGTTTATATAGACGCGGCTCTGGCTGAGGCAATCATTACGCTGATGAGAGTCAGAAGCACGTGGGTGTCTCCGACCAGCCTCAAGCTCTGAGCCTTCAAAACAAATACAACAATGTGTGGCGCCCGCAAAAGCCTGGAAATCCGCTTGAGGCTTTTGCGCCCCTAAGAAGGGGGCACCAGGCCGGCTGCCCTCCACGTTGCGCGGTGCTACGCTCCTTGCTTACTGTCAAACTCCTTTAAACCTCCCAGAGCTGTTTGAAAACGTGTTTGCAAAAAGAATCATCAGTTGTCAAAGTTTCAGAGATTCCTAATAGGGGAGCTGACACAGTAATAAGTGGTTTTATAAATAAATGAGAAATTAGAATGCCTCCAACTCGGAGTATTAAGGAAGCAAGGTAGTTGATAGATATTCCCCCCCCCCCCATCTTATTCAAAACAATTGACTACCCATTAATTGGTGTTTTTATTGCTCAGCATAAACGCCTCTCTCACCCGGGTAGCGACCGGCCATGACCCTCCCTCTGGGTTGTTAAAGCGCTGAGCCTGCGCTGGGGTCTGCGCCTTTGAAGGGGCCTGGGAGAGCTTCGAGAGTCGGGGGGGGGGGGCACGGAAGAGGGGACCTGGAGCCTGTCGCCGATTCAGAACCCATTTCAAGCGCAAGATGGACTTGGAGGGCTGTCGTTGCGTGACTTGGACACCGGCATTGGCCTCTCTAAAGAGATGCGCCTCCCATGTAGGGGCTTTCAGCCGCGGGAGCAAAGGGGAGAGTGGCTAGGCGTGCATCCTCACCGGGGTTAGGATGGGGGTTCAGGGGACACCACTCTGCCCTTCCTCTTCTCCCCAAAATACCCCCGTCCCAGACGCGAGTCTCCTTGCCTCGTTCCTCCAGACACCTCGGCCTTCCCAGGGCCGCCGGCCACCCTCATAGACTTCCAGAAGCATTCTGCGCCACCCACTGTGACACCAGCCCGGGTCTACTGGCCTCCCGGCCGCCGCAGGGGCGTGAAACGAACTTGCGCAGCGAGGAGCTGAGCTGTCTGCAGCGCGTGCGATTTTTAATTATCTTTTCCGTCGCAGGGGAGAGCTCTAACCCCGGGCACCGCGCCGCCTGAGCGCACCAGGGCAGCTGTGTGCCCCAGCCGCAGGCAGCCAACCTGCAAGGGGAAGCGGCTTACCCCGCAAAGAGAATAGTAAAGACGAGGCTGCATCCATTTTCTCCCACCTTACACCCACTCACAAGCACTCAGACACACACTCCCCAACAGCCACGCACTAGCACTCTTACATACACACACAACTCATACACGTGGATTTTTTTTTTTCCTTTTCGCCTTTTTTTGCCTTTTAGCCGGGCCGCTTTATTTGGGGCACGTTATACCACTGTCTAACCAAGATTTCTGACTTGTTCTGTATTTTTTTTAAAGGTGTGGCGGCTGCAAAGGAGGGAATAAGTTACAGGAAGTGTATTATTTCTGTGGTCAAAGGGAGACAGAAATTCAGTACTACCATAGTAGGTGATACGCCACCTTCTCTGGGATTGTCCGTATCTCAGGAAGTCCACAGAACAGGGAACTCCCAGAAAATTTGAAGACGCTAAGTAATAATCAATATTTTAGTTATGGGCAACCAAACGAGGCTTTTTTTGAACGATATATTCTAGAGCTCTTTGGATTTTAGTCATCATGGGGGGCTTTACCTCTTGCTCAGTCGCTGTTTTGTCCTTTGATTTACTTGGTGGACAGCAAGATATGCAGGCCTCAGCGGTTGAGTACTTTGACTAGGGATTTTTAGGGCAATTTAATCAATGGTAAATTATTTATTTTAACCAATCATATCTGGTAATTCACCTTTAAAGCCTTCCTTGGGTATCCTCCCTCCACTTCACATTTCAGTGGAACTAATATAAGCAGCTCTTGGAAGTTACTAGTCTTGGATCCCTTAAAATATCCTACAGTTATTTATAATGTGGAAATGAAATTTTCCACCAAATACCCTCACAGCATTTCAGGTATCTGGCGCAGCAGATTTTCAGCCTTCTTCCAAAATGTCCTCTTGCTGAACATTCACGCTTTCAGCTGGAATTGACCGGGCCTGGAACGGACGATGTCTTGGCCCAGAGCATTATACTTAAAGGAAGAAAATATTTTTACAGACCCCCTAAACCAAACCTCTCCTGGTAATAGTAGGCACATAGGAAAACGTGGACATTTTACATCTGAGTATTTTGTGCTGTAGTTTGCATGATCTCAGGTTTAGATTTTCTTCACACCAAAGTATTTGGAACAAATCAAACACTACATTCCTCTTCAGAAACATTTATCTTCTCTGTTGTATGTTGTGACACAAAAAAAAGAACGAACATATTTTTCTGAAAATGTGGCTACTTTAGAAGATACAAACATAATTTCCCCCTTCATGTCCTTTAACACTTAATATCACTGTTTAGTAACAACATTGGGTAAATGAGATGTGAAATGATCAAGCTATTTAGTCAAAGAACTGAATCCCTAAATTGGGAACAAAATCCATGCTTCTTTCATTCAGGTTCCATCTTCTAAGCCCTACTCATTATTTTATATATACTTTTTTCTTGATGAAAAGTGAAAATGTTGCCCTGGCTGGTGTTGCTAAGCGGTCTCATGCATTGAAGGGTCTCGGGTTAGATTCCTGGTCAGGGCACATATCCAGGTTGTGGGTTCCGTCCCCGTTGGGGCGCTTATGGGAGGCAGCTGATGGATGTTTCTCTCTCATACCTCGACACATTGATGTTCCTCTCTCTCTCTCTCTCTCTCTCTCTCTCTCCCTAATCAGTGAAAAGAACATATCCTCAGTGAGGATATAAAAGAAAAGAAAAATGAAAAAGTCACTGTAAAATCTTAAAATTGCTTTCAATGGACCAGCTAAAGTTGGATAACCTTTTCAGACGTGCAATAGAAAATCATGGACATATTGATGATCCCTAAAGTTTTTAGGTGTAATGTTGGAAAACGTTATAAACAGAACCATCTTTGGAGAGTTTTCCTTTGGACAGTGATTGAATTAAGGATACCTCACCCTTGAAGAAGCAATACTGCCGACACACCAGGAGTTGTCATACTGCATACAGCTCATGGACCAAATCTAGCCTAAAGTCTATTTTGTCTGGCACACTAGTTAAGAATGATTTTTGTATTTTAAAGTACTAGGAAAATATTAAAAGAAAAAAATAAGACTTGAAATTATATAAAATTCATATTTCAATGTCCATAAATAATGTGTTTTTGGAACATAGCTATATTTATGTGTTTATCTATTGTCTGTAGCTGCCTTCAACGAATACAGCATAATTGTATAGTGTGACAAAGATTGTACGGCCTGTAAAGCCTAAAATATTTAATATCTGTTTTTTTATAGAAAAAGTTAGCCAGGTCCTAAAGTGAAAGGATGGGGCAGAATGGGACAGCAGAAAGGAGTAGATATTAAGAGAAGATATTGGGATGGAGTGTGTATGAGGTCCAGATTAGTTCTCAAAAAATTAAAAATACATCATTTAACTTATTGCTTTCTGTGTAAAACATTAATCACGTAGACTAATATTTTTCACTTAATAATTTTGGATGTGCCAAAACAGACAGAAAAGAACGAGGCGTGCTTTTTCATGCGC